GCATTTTTGTTTTAATTTTGGTATCTTATTTAAAAATGTTGAGTGCAAATTCAATAATGGGAATTCAGATATTTTTCTTCCTGTATTAAATATTCTTTCTAACGTTTCGAAGCCATTTTCTTGTTCTAAAACAATAAATAATACATAAACACCTACTTTGTGACAAAAGTTGGTTACTATTTGTGTTACTTACATGAATAGATCTTACCTACTTTGGTTAATTAAAGAACGCCACATTGGGGTTGTTGAATTTGTTAATGTGGCATGTGTTACTAATGCAATACGTTCTCCAACTCATTGTAATATGTATTACAAAATATAATTATCGTCCTTAAATTTCACACAAAAACAGCCACAACTATTTTGCTTAGTTTATCTAGAGGATAACACAATCATGAACTCAATTTTTAAAATTTAAATTCATGATTCTTCGGTATAAATAAAACTGACATATATACAAACTGTCTACTGCTGTCCACGTTTACTGTCTGTCTCAGTGTTGCCAACCGTACGATTTAAATCGTATTTATACGATTTTTTAACTCTCTATACGATGTATGATTATATCACACACCTAGAGAATTATAAGGCTAAAGAACGACTGAGCATCTGATCTGAGTGTCTACTGAAACGGGATAGAATCTCAGAGCAATTACTACTAGAGGAAATCTTCCCCCCTTCCCCGCACTAAATTTTGTTAGCAACATCTCACATACTTTGATTACTTTACGAGGCAAGAGAAAGGTCCGACACGCCCAACATAGGGCGCGGCCATTTTGAACCCTGTGACACAGTTTACAGCTAAAGAATCAGATAGCTCACTCTGCGTCGGTACTTTGGATCTCAATGTTTCAGTTTATACACTGTGCAACTCGGATAATACAATATATGACAACCGCCTATAATAAAACAGCAGTCTTCTGCGTGTCCTGAATTTGTATCTCTAGAGTGGATGTTATTTTGGAACTTTCAACTGGTCCGAGTGAGCTAACTGATTCTTTAGCAATAAACTGTGACTTCAAAAATAATATTCACTGAGTCTGACAGCATCAAGCAAAATATCAGGTGCGTTTTAATCATCCGCTTCTGCTTCCGGAATTGTCGGTTTAGTCGTTTTAACCTGTCAGATTAAAACAAGAAAACTGACAAGTTTTATTCTCTTATTATCGTGATTGTACCTGCAATAGCGTACGTCTATTATTATTCATATTATATTTTAGCTTTTGGACTGTCAGCGCGGAACGAGAGGCAAGGAGTATGGCATATAAAATAAAGGTAAAATTTGAATTTCGCGATAGGTCCGGTTTCCTCTTAATTATTTTTCGACATGGTGCATAAGGAATCTTTATTTTAGCAGTCTATTACATACTTGACACACGATGATTATCAGAAGAATGTTGAGAGAGGGAAAATAACTTAATTTTGTTCAAAATACGCCACTGCCATTACTACCTTATCTTAAATGAAAAGTTAAAAAAAAACCTTTTTTAAAAAAAGACCGTAATAGCTTTTGTTTAGTTTTAAGTAAATTAAAAAAAACACAACGGTAACAAAATACTTGAATTAAACAAAATAAATAAATAATTATAATTGCATAAATTGATAAAAAATGCTATGCAATAGCTTTACCGCGGCAATCCCCAAGTGCCACACGTATATTTGTTATTATTTTTGTTCTAAATTAAGGTTACAGACTAGATAATTTCTCTTCGTGAAGTCAATAGGTTTTGAGTTAGTTTTAAACAAGTAACTCTATTAATCGAACGTAGACAGGGATACACGGACAAAGCTGATAAACTACTTAGCGTACTTACATTTAACGTCAAGCTGTACAGGATTGCTTTCTCCGTCGCCTTCTTGATTGTGTCCTACACAAGTGTAAAGTCCTGTTCGGGCCCTCGTAATGGATTGTAAAACCAAACTTTGGTTGCTTACTATAGTGTTCGTCTGGATGTTGTTGTAGAGTTGTTTGCCCTGAAAATATTTTTTAGATAAATAGTTGGCATCTGAAGGAGGCGAGAAATTTATGGCTTCCAACAGGAATACAAAATGTATTTCGTATATTGTGTTGTGTAAGGCACTAATCTGTAACTGGAAAATAAAAAAGGTGTGCTAAAAAATAATGTAGAAATGGGCAAATAAATAGATATATCATGTAGATACTGGATGTCACATTTTTTATTGAATTTTTGTCAGCGATAACATAATTTTAACATACAGTAAAATATACTGTATAATAATAATAATTTATTTAGCATTCAGTATCCATATACAATAATAAAATACATTAACAAGTTCAAATAATATGTAAACTGGTCGCCCATTTATGACCAATTGGTTGCGCATGGGCTGCCAAATCATTACCTAATGTTAAATTAATATTGTGTGCTTATTTGATTCTAAAATACATTTAAAAAAAAAAAAATAAAACGGATATTAAAATAACTAGAAACATACAATATAATAACTCAGTTATAGACTTATACAGGGTGGCCACTTTTTTATTGAAATGTATTGCTATCTCGTAAACCGTTGGTAACACAAAGTTGGTTAAATGGGGAAAAAGTTGCATATTTCGAAGTCCAATCTGAGGGCGTTTTGAAAAACTAAAATATCAGGTCCGGTTTCCGAGATATTCGATAAAAAACAAATAAGTACCATTTCTTTATTCCGCTACAGAACGTTTATTTGCAAAAATAGACAAAAACTTATTTGGAGTTTTTTGTTTTATATCAAATTGTGCGTATGATAGCGTATTTAGTTTTTTTATCCGACGTTTCGTAAATGCAGGACCACCATCAACTTCTTTATTTGAATATGGACCAATATTTTCCTGGCTCATAATTTCAATGTTGAATACAATGATGTAATAACATATTGTGATTAGTCAACATTTCGGAAGATTTGAACATCATCAGGTAAGTTTACAAGTACGGACCTGTGTTTTGTTAGTTAAAAATATTTGAATTAGTAAATGATGTATTATCAGTGTAAGAAATCAGGTACGTTTACTTGTACAGACCTGTATTATAAATTATTTGAAATACACAACTACATTTTAAATGCTTAAAATAATTTAATAAAAAAATATATGTATTTAACTACTTAATCACGTCAGAAACAAATAAATGAAAACAATGATTAACGATAAGAGAAAAACTACAGTAGTTGCTCAAAATGTCTTCCTTCTTCTTAAA